ATCTGAAGAGAAATTTTGTTTTTACAAAAAAAGCTGAAAAGTGAAAACAGCATTCAGTGCTTATTTTGTAGAAAGCCATTATAGAGGCATGCTCCAAGCAGCAAGAGCGGCACCACCAAGCTCCTTCCCTGGGAATCATACCCAGCATCTCAGTATCAAGCCGCCATAGCTTTGAACTGTGTCTGTGAGTATCTATGCTTCGTCCTGATATATTTTGTGCATCCATTAGCAAGATATGTCCTAAGGTAATTGTTCCTTCACTTTATGCCATTCCAGCCTACAAAAGGTTTCATAGGACCGCTCTCCTTTTGGACAGTGGAAGAAATCTGTATATTCCATTCTTCATCTGTCTATTCTTATGCTAATACTATGTTGTATTATGCTGATGCTGTGGCCTTATTATAAATCTTAGTCATATAGTATTAGCCCTCAAATTTTGTTGTCCTTTAGATTTCAATGATTTTCTCTACAGCATTTGTTTATTTCACTGCACTCTTTGATCTTTGTTATGTCCTTTCTTCTGTTTACTTTCCATTTAACTTCTTCTTTCTAGTTTATTAAAGTAGACATTGACATCACTGATTTAAGGCCTCTCTGCTTTTCACTGACGTAGGCATTTAGTGCTATAAATTTCCCCCTACCTACTGCTTTAGCAGCATTCTACAAATTCTGGTATGTTGTGTTTTCATTTTAATTCAGTTTAAAACACTTAAAAAGAAACTCTTATAATCTCCTCTTTGATCCAGGGGTTATTTAGAAGTGTGTTATTTAACTTTAAAATACGTCAGATTTTCAAAATATCTGTTACTAACATCTAAATTAATTCCATTATGGTAAAAAAACAATCTGAATGATTTGAATACTTATGAATTTATTGAGACATGTTCTATGTTCCAGAATATGGTCTTTCTTGGTAAATATTCTGTGCACACATAAGAATAATTTGTATTCTGCTACTGTTGGATCACATGGTCTATAAATGTCAATCAGGTCAGGTTGGTTGACAGTGCTATTCAAATGTACTATAACCTTGATGATTTCTGCCTATCTGTTGTATCAACTGAGAGATTAGTTTTTGTCTATTTCTCCTTATACTTCTATTAGTTTTTGTTTCATGTATTTTGAAGATCTGTTATCAGGGTATAAACAGAAATGTTTATAGTCGTTATATGTCCTCTTCATTAACTGATCCTTTTATCACTATGAAATAAAGTTCTTTATCTCTGGTAATATGCTTTCCTTTGAAATCTACTTTGATATTAAAACAACAGTTCCAACTTGGTTTTGATTAGTACTAGTATGGTATATCTTTACATTTAAAGTATGTTTCTTGCGGTTAGCATACACTTGAGTTTTGCTTTTGTAGGCAATCTGACAATCTCTGTCTTTTAATTGGGGTGTGTAGACCATTTATAGTACCACGTCTTGGTATCTGTCCCATCTGTTTTTTGTTACCTGTTATCTTTTCCTGCCTTCCTTAAGATTAGGATTTGTTTCAATTTTATCCCCTTTGTTGCTTTATAAACTAAATGTCTTTGTCATTTTAGCAGTGGCTTTATAGTTTATAGTTGTGGGAGGCTGAACAGTGTCCCCAAGATATCAATATCCTAATCTCTGGAACGTGTGAATGGGAATATACAGTTGTGATTAAGCCAAGGATCCTGAGATGAGGGGACTATCCTGGAACATCCATGTGGACCCAGAATGTAACCATGAGTGTCACTGTAAGAGAAAAGAAGAGGAAGATTTGACAGACACAAAAAAAGATAAGGCCATGTGACCAAAGGCAGAGACAGGAGTGACATGGTCACAAGCCCAGAAATGCTGGCAGTGAGCAGAAGCTGAAGGAGGCAAGAAATGGATCTCCCTTAGTGTCTCTGGAGCTAGTACAACCCTGCTGAAACCTCGATTTTGCCCTAGCAATAGTTTTTGGATTTCTGGCCTCCAAAACTGTGAGGGAAATTTTTCCTATTGTTTTAAGCTGCCAAATTTGTGGTAATTTGTTATAGCAGGCAACAGAAATAGGATAGTACGTATCTTTAACTTATCACAGTCTAGCTTTAATTGTTATTATAACACTTCACATATACTGTCAGAATCTTACATTATACTTCCATGCTCTACTCTTTTGGCCTTTATACAGCTGTTGTTACCATGTATTTTGCTTCTACATAGGTTAAAAATCCCAAAATACAATGTTATAATTTTTGATTAAACAATTATCATTTAAAATTACTTTGGTAACAGAAAAAAAATTTTATTTAACCAGGCAATTTCCATTTCTGATGCTCTTCATTTCTTTGTTTAGATTCAGAGGTCCAACTGGTATTATTTCCCTTCTATCTGTAGCATGCACTTTAACATTTCTTATAGTCCAGGCCTGAAAATGTCTTAGTTTCACTATATTTTTTAAGATATATTTTTGCTGATTATAGAATTCTAGGTTAATATTTCTTTCTTTCAATCCTTTAAAAATGTTGCTGTATTATCATTTCACTTGTATTGTTTCCAGTGAGAAACCTGATTTCACCCTTATCTTTATGCCTCTAAATATAACATCTTTTTTTTCACTGCCAGTTTAAGATTTTTTTATCACTGGCTTTGAGCAATTTGATTATTATGTGCTTTGGTGTTTTCTTCATGTTTCATGTGCTTGTAGTTCACTGAACTTCCTCAATCCGTGGATTTAATGCTTTCATCAAGTTCAGAAAGTATTTACTTTTTTCTTCCCATCCCCTCCTTTGAGGACTCCAGATATCTGTACATTAAGCTACTTCAAGCTGTTTTTCAGTTTAGGAATTCATTTTTCTATGTTCATATTTTGAATAGTTTCTACTGCTAATGCCTTCAAGTTCATTAATCTTTTCTTCTGCAATGTTTAATCTGTTGTTCATGCCATCCAGTGTATTTTTCATTTCAAATATAGTTCATTCTCAAGAAGTTCAATTTGGGTCTTTTATACCTTCCATATCTCTATTTAACTTCTGAACAAATGGAGTGGTTATAAAAACTGTCTTAAATATTCTCTCATAATTCTCACATGAGAATCCAGTTGTCTTTTTTTAAGCCATACAAAGATTTCCAAAAACAGAAACAGTACAAGTTTTCTCATCAAATATTATTTTGCTTTAGAGAAAGTTACTATTCATTGAAATGTTATTTATGTTAATATGTAATAGGTTATTATAAGTGAATTAGTTTTTAAAATTTGTTTCAATTTCTAATTCAGAAAATACCAATAGATATAACCCACATTAAAAAAAACAAACAAAAAAACAGTTCTTTCTCAATTTAAATTAACTGATTACTCTCCTCAGTATTGGTTATATCTTCCTGCCCCTTTGCACGCCAATTAATCTTTGACTGAACAACAGACACTGTAAACTTAACTTTGTTGGGTGCTGGATATTTTTGTAATCTTATAAATTTTCTTGCGCTCTGCTCTGGGATGCAGTTAGGTTACTTGGAAACAATTTGATCCTTTCAGGTCTTGCCTTTGTTAGATGGGTCTGGAGCAGTGTCCAGTCTAGGACTAACTGTTCCCCACTAGTGAGGCAAAAATTTCCTGAGTACTTCACCCAGTGTCCCATGGATTACAAGTTTCTCCACTATAGCGGTAGGAACTGACACAGTTACTGGCACCAGGCACCACTCCCTCTAATCCTTGCAAATGGTTATTCTCCCAACCTCAGGTAGGTTTCTTCATGTGCATGCCCTACTCAGTACTCTGCTGATATTTGAAGAGAACTCTCTACAAGTCTCTGGAGTTCTTTGTGCAGCTCTCTCCTCTGGTGTTCTGTCTACTGCACTCTAGGAGCGCTGGTCTTCCTAGACACTCAGCACTGTTTCCTCAACTCAAGGAGTCAGCCAGACTCTTGCAGTGTGCCTCCACGTGTTACAGCCTGAAAACTTTCTCAAGGTTAAGCGAGGCAATCATAGATCTGATTTATTTATTTATTGTCTCTAGGGATTGTTTTCATTTGTTGTCTCATGTCCAGTATCTAGGAAATGTTATTTTTCTTTTCAGTTGTTGCAGAAGAAACGGTTACTTCCATTACTCCATCATAACTGGAAGCAGACATCTCATACCAAACCAACAGATTTTAATGTAACAGAGTGAAATAAATTCACTGATACGGTTCCAGATTTCATATTGCAAATTACATTTAAGAAACAACCACTTGTTCGATTTGGGGGTAAAATCAAAGATAATTCACAGTTATCTAAAACTGCTTTTTAAAGTGTTCCTCCCTAACAAAAAGATTAATGGTTGTCAGGGACTGGGTGGGGAGGGGAAAGGGAAGTGACTGCTAATGAGTACAGGGTTGCTTTGTGGGGTGATGAAATGTTCTGAAATTAGATATTGGTGATAGCTGTAGAATTCAGTGAATATACTAAAATCTACTGAATTGTACACTTATTTATAAGGTGAATTTTATGGTATGTGAATTGTATCTCATATAAAAAAAACTTTTCCCAACTACATATGAAATCCAAAATCCCTGAGGCCAGATTTTATACATATACGTCAACCAAAACAACTTATTACAGTAAACTGAAAAGCCATACATTAAGAGATTTTTTTAAAAACACAAAACAATAAGTTTTCTCACCAAGTATTATTTTGCTTTAGAAAAACAGTTATTCAAGAAAATGTTATTTATGTTAATATGTAATAGGTTTATTATTACTTTAAACTGAATTAATAAAAACTTAAAATTTTTTCTGTTTCAATTTCTAATTCAGAAAATATCAATAGATAAAACCCACATAAAGAAACACTCTTTGGGATTCCCAGTAAAATTTAATAAGAGTATAAAGAGTCCTGAGGCCATATAATTTGAGAACTGTCAGTCTATGCCATCATACTATGCCAGGGATTCCATACTAGTATACATCTTAACAGACATAATGTAGTAATTAACAAAAGTAGTTAATAAAAAATGCTAAGAAGGTATGTAAACACACACGAAAGTTTGTTACTTAATTGCATGTCTTACTTGGAAGTTTCTGGCAAGCCAGCTGAGAGTTCCAGAAACACAGATAAGTAGTAACCACGAACAACTCCATTTCCATCCTTAAAAAAAAAAAAGAAAAAGATGTTATACAAACTCCAGATCAATTTAAATGTAAAAATTTAAGCCACAATGAAACAAACAAAATACAGATATCTGGATGCCAAAGTAGTTTTAAGCTTAAAAACAATAAGAGATAATAAAAAGACCAAGAGGTCTGAATCTATAACAATTTAAAACTTTTGCAATTAAAAAAATATATTAAAGCATACAAACTAAAGAAAATATCAACAACTATGAAAAGAGTTAAGAGTTTTAACACATATAGAACTCTTAATTATGAGCCTCCAAGAAAAATCAAAACCCCAAAGAAAAACGCCAAAAAAAGAAAAGCCTCAATTTCACTAGGAATGAGACAAAAAAAAAAAAGATATATAAGATCAAAAGAGAGTAAAATAGAAAAAGGTAACACTTGATTGCTGTTGAAAGTAATTAAATATAATTTCTATGTTTTTTTTTTTTTTTTTTTTTGCGGTATGTGGGCCTCTCACTGCTACGGCCTCTCCCGTTGCGGAGCACGGGCTCTGGACGCGCAGGCTCAGCGGCCATGTCTCATGGGACCAGCCGCTCCGCGGCATGTGGGATCTTCCCAGACCGGGGCACGAACCCACAATTTCTATGTTAGGATGTTAGGATTCCACATAAGATTCTGTCTGGAGATTGAAAAGCTGTTTAAATTTCTGTTACAGAGATTTTTATGAGTACAATTATTCCCCTCTGTATTTCTCCAGTACTGTGTGAGAAGATTATATTTGTTATAACTATGTGTAAAAAGATCTGTTTCCCCAACTAGACTGTGAGGGCTGAGGGCAGGAATATGTCTATAGAGGGGTACATGTACTTCTTAACCCCTTCATTTCTAGGCTACTTTGCTCCAAAAGGTCCTGAGGCAGCTTTCAGGGTTTGACATGGTAATCACTCAATAAATATTACGAATAAATCAATCATCACTTAAGTGAAAAAAGCTGGACACAAAAGCTTATATGTTGTATAATCCTACTATATGAAATTCTGGAAAAGCAAAATTATAGTAACAAAAACAGATCAGTGGTTGCAGAGAGGCCAGGAAAGGAGAAAAAAGGATTATGTGAAAAGGATAAATTACATAACTTCTGAGGGTGATAAAAGTCATGATTGTGACAATGATTATACAACTATATATATTTGTGAAAACTTGCTAAAATTAGCGAATATTACTGAACATAAATCATATAGCAAATTACACTGATTTTTAAAAATCAACCAATATCCTTGTTCAAATAGCTGGGTTTTTTTTCTTCTTTTAAATTATGCTCCTAAAACGATTTCCCTGGAATGAAATCAATTAATAAAAGATAATGAACATTTTTCACTCCTAATTTTAACAGATAATAAGATTAGAAATTTCTTTGACTTAATTTTTATCATAATCTTTTTATTTTTAAAATAAATTTATTTATTTATTTTCGGCTACATTGGGTCTGCGTTGCCGCGCGCAGGCTTTCTCTAGTTGCAGCGAGTGGGGGTCACTCTTCATTGCGGTGCACAGGCTTCTCATTGCAGTGGCTTCTCGTTGCAGAGCATGGGCTCTAGGCGCACGGGCTAGTATTTGTGGCACGAGGGCCTCAGTAGTTGTGGCACACGGGCTTAGTTGCTCCGTGGCATGTGGGATCTTCCCGGACCAGGGCTCAAACGCGTGTCCCCTGCACTGTCAAGCAGATTCTTAACCACTGCGCCATCAGGGAAGCCCTATCATAATCTTAAGGAACAAAATTTTTACTACTTTTATTGACATGCCATCTGTACCTCTAACAAAATACTAGCTTTAAGAATTTTCTTTTCTTTTCTTTTCTTTCTTTCTTTATTTTTGGCTGCGTTGGGTCTTCGTTGCTGCATGTGGGCTTTCTCTAGTTGCGGCGAGCGGGGGCTACTCTTTGTTGCAGTGTGCGGGCTTCTCATTGTGGTGGCTTCTCTTGCTGTGGAGCACGGGCTCTAGGCGCACGGGCTTCAGTAGCTGTGGCATGCGGGCTCAGTAGTTGTGGTGCATGGGCTCTGGAGCACAGGCTCAGTAGTTATGGCACACGGGCTTAGTTGCTCCACGGCATGTGGGATCTTCCCGGACGAGGGCTTGAACCCATGTCCCCTGCATTGGCAGGTGGATTCTTAACCACTGCACCACCAGGGAAGTCCCTAGCTTTAAGAATTTCAATAGGCAGAGGATTCTGGAAAGACTGCCAAAATGGCAGCATAGTTTTTACAACTCTCTAAATCCAAACATAAAACAAAACAAAACAACTGAACAACAAAACCAAAAGCTCACAAACAACATTTATAACAAAATTAAATGACAGGTTATCTCCACAACCCCCAAAACACAAGCAGGTAAAGACATACCAATTATAACCACAAAGACCTGCATGATATCAACAGTGTGGGAGAAAGGAAAGAGAAGCAATGGGACGTCTAATGGACCCGAAAGAAGGAAAACCACAAAATGGACAAAAGTTAGTCACTGAAAAGCATCACAAGCCACATATGACAGCTGAAACTGAAGAGTTGCTCAATATAATACCAACTGAGTATAAGGGGGCCTAATATAAAAAAGTCTGAAAACTAAATGCAGTCTAGTCACTCTAAACTCTTAAAGACGAGTAAGTATGGCCTTTTAGGACAGGTCCAAAGACTGCAAAGGAAATGCTAGGAGGAAAATAAAAGATAAACAGCATAGAAATAATACAAACAAAGGAAGGAAAAGGTCCAGATGAGAAGGGAAGAAGAACGAGGAAATCTCTCAGAAAGCAAGGCACCAGATTTCTGATTGTTATCACACTGGCTGGCTATCCACATGCAAAAGAATGATGTCGGACCCCTACATCATAAAAAAATTAATTCAAAACAGATCAAAGATCTAAATATAAGTCCTAAAACTATAAAACCTTAGAAGAAAACATAGGGGAAAAGCTCCATGACATTGGAGTTGGTAAGGATTTCCTGGATATGAAACCAAAAGCAAAAATAGACAAACTGGACAACAACAAAATTAAGAACTTCTGTGCATCAAAGGACACAATCAACAGAGTAAAAAGAAACCTTACAGAATAGGAGAAAATACATGTAAATCAGGTATCTAATAAGGGGGTCAATATCCAGAATATATAAACTCCTACAACACAACAAAAAACTTGATTAAAAAATGGGCAAAGGACTTGAATACACATTTCTCTAAACAGGATATACAAATGGCCATGAATAAGCACATAAAAAGATGCTCAACAACATTAATCATTAGGGAAGTGCAAATCAAAACCACAATGAATTACCTCACACCCATCAGGATGGCTACTATCAAAGAAACAGAAAACAAAAAGTATTGACAAAGATATGGAAAAACTGGAACCCTTGTGCATTGTTGGTGGGAACGTAAAATGGTGCAACCACTGTAGATAACAATATGGTTCCTCAAAAAACTAAAAACAGAATTACCGTATGATCCAGCAATAGTATTTCTGGGCATATATCTGAAAGAATCAAAAGCAGGATATTGAAGAGATATTTGCACACCCATGTTCACAGCAGCATTAGTCACTATAGCCAACAGGTAGAAACAACCCAAGTGTCCACTGACAGATGAACAAATAAACAAAATGTGGTATATACATACAATGGAATATTATTCAGTCTTAAAAAGGAAGGAAATTCTGACACATGCTACAAAGTGGAGGAACCTTACAAACATTATGCTAAGTAAAAGAAGCAGTAACAAGAAGATGTTACTGTGTTACGATTCCACATACATGAAGTATCTAGAGTAGTCAAATTCATAGAGAAAGTAGAATGGTGGTTGCCAGGGGCTGAGGAGAGGGGGAAATGGGGAATTACTGTTTAACGGGCAGAAAGCTTCAGTTTTGCAAGTAGAAAGAGTTCTGGAAGTTGGTTACAAAACAATGTAAATATACTTAACAATACTAAATGTACATTTAGAAATGATAAAAATGGTAAATTTTATGTTATGCATCACTTACCAAGATTAAAAAAAGAGGAAATAAAGAGAATAACATCCCTACAGACAATGAAAGCACCCTAGAAAAACATACTCAAAGATCAAAATTGTAACCATTTCAAAAGAACCTAATAGACACTAAGAAAATAATATGACGGCCCACAGGAAGAAAAGAAAAAATAAGAAAATAATATGATATGAAAGAATAACACAAATCAGTATTAGAAAAACTCAGAAATCAGGTAATAGGACTAAGGAAAGAGAAATAAAAGGAAAAGTTATTTAAGAAATAAAGACTGAACTAAAAGGAACACAAGAGCAAATAAGCACAACAGTTTATATCTTTCAAAAAATAAGTGAACAAAAGAAAATTTTAAAAATTAAAAAGAAATGAAGAAAAAGCTGAAAAGTTCAGAGAGAAAGTGGTAAATATTGAAGACAGGCAAGGAAGATGTAAAATGAAGATAATACAAGTCCCAAGAGAGAAAACCAAAGACAGAAACAAAGTAAATATTTAAAACTATAATTCAGGAAACGTTTTCTTTAAAAAGTCTAAAACTACATATTGAAAGAGCCCAGCATGTAACTGAGAATACTGACCAAGAACAACCAAAACATATAGTAGTAAATTATTGGACTTAAAAAGAATTAGATTATTTGGGCATCTAGACAATATTAGCAAATGCCTTTTAAGGATCAGTTTATCATCAGACTTTACCAAAAGAAAATGGAATTGAATATTTAAGATACCCAGTGAAAGAAAACATGAGCCAAGAATTTTGCATCCAGCAATACTGGCTTTAGCTTATAAAGGATAGAAACTATTTTCAACACACAAAAATTCAGGAAGTATTGCTTTCATTAGCCCTTCCAGTAGAATTTACTAGAGAACAAGCTTTGAACACCCTAACTGTTGTCCAGACATGGCATAGTGAAATGTGGAGAGTATATTTCCAAATAAAATTTTAAACATTTCTCAGTAATCAAATCAATGATGGAATTAGAGTTCCCCTTCTGAGATTTTTGTGTTTGTAAGGTGAAATAAGGCAAATAAGTGATTGATTATGAGATTATAATTCTATCACTTCCTATGGCTTCAAAAAGTAGGATTCCTAGAATAGAAGAAAGGAGATACAGGTGTAATGTAAAGAGATTATGTTTAAAAAACTCTATAATCCTTAATTTGAATTGTAAACATGAGCATTAACTCAGGAGTTATTTTATCTCTAAAAAATACATACATACATGTGACACCCTGATATTCTACAATTATATAGCAATTGTAAAGTGTTCATAAATATTTTTTCTCTATTAATATCACTGGAGTTTTTCCACTTCAATTTTAAGCACACTCCTACCCAGTTTTTCTCAAAGTATGGTCTTTGGGCTAAAAACAAACAAATAAAACTTCTAAAATGTATAACACCAAGAATGAACTAGGACTTTGGGTGATAATGTGTCAATGTAAATTCATCAAGTGCAAAAAATGTACCACTCTGGCACAGGGCATGTTGATAGTGGCAGAGGCTGTGCATGTGTGGGGGCAGTGGGTGCGAATAGAGCTCTCTGTACTTTCCACTCAATTTTGCTGTTAACCTAAAACTGCTCTAAAAAATAGAGTCTATTAGATAAATTTTTAAATACATACATACATACATATTAATCCCTCCCCCTTCCCAAACCCCCACATACATTTGCCTATGTAATTCCCTAGTTCTGTTCATGAAGAAAGCCTAGAAACAGTGACTAACCTGGTAGAAATGAGCACCCTTAATGCCCAGTTTGGTCTTGAAATACAATTTTCCCACTAAAAGAAATCAGGGCTTTTTGGATAAAATGACCAATTTTCAGGTACAGAGTAGGAAATGTACAAGATGAGACTAGAACATCTTGCCACGGAAGAGGACAAGAAAGCTAACTACTAGCGTCACTACTAGACTATTAGGGTCAGAGCAAAGTGACACAGAAGCCAACTTAAAGAGACTAAATATGTATAAATCCATGAGTTCATAATGATATTTTTTTTAAAAACCTAGTTAATTACTTTCAGAGAATAAGGAAAATCACTAAATAACAGGAAAGAGTCTTGCCTATTCTATATGAACTGTAATACTGGATAACCAAACAATAGGTAAAGGTAAGCATCTCTTTATAAAAGCATTACACGTAATAAGCAAAAAAGAAACAAAATGAGAATCACTACTCTGCAACTTCCAGTGAATTAACAGATGTAGGCAATGTTCATCAATATGACAAAAAGATATGCAACTAGATATGATATGATAAAAGCACACACTACTGCTTATATTCTTGCCATTGGAATTGACTATGCAGCTCATCATACCACTGGGTCCAGCTGCCAATATGCAGCAAATCTACAGGTCAAAGAAACATACTGAAATGCACCACGAGTATGCAGTCAACACACATGTGTTTCTGATGACCATCTGTAAATGTATTTTTTTTAATGATTTTTAAAATAAGAATTTTAAACATTTCTTCTAAATGTTAGTGAAATAAGGTTCAGTAATATGCCAGTGTTTACACTGTTTATATTTAACTCATTTTTTTCACAGGTTTAGCAACATATCCTATAAAGAAACAAAATTGTCATTACTTTAATTCCTTTCTCCACTAAAAAAGTGAACCAGTGTACTATAGAACCCTAAAAGAAAGATCTTGGTTTCAAAATTTATTAGAAATAATGAAAAACTTACTGGGTAAACTTTTAACCTCCAACAAAGTCCTGAAACTTGAAGAGGTGGACTGTAAACAGGATCTGCTCTCTGACGCAAAGTACTAAAGTAAAAGAAAACCAACTGAATCCCAAGATCAAAACTGTTGGGAAATAGCAAACAGGCAAAAACAAAACCCAACCACTTCATGTTACTTATTTGAAGTCCTGGACCAGTAAATGAAGGTGACTGAAGAAGTCAAGATTCCACTGTATAAATTTATATATACTAACATTCTGAAATAAAAGAAACTTTAATGATACAGAAATATTCAGCAGTATCTTAAGTTTCAGGTTAAAAAAAAACCCTCAAAATTTTGTCATTTAAGGGAAAAGAAAAATATAACTAAGTGCCTTGAATCTAATTACCACTTCAACAGTCTTCCACCGTTAAAGGAAAAAAAAAAAGTTTCTTCCTCACATCCCCACAGTATAATTATCCTTTTCTAATATGGAAAAAAAATGTGGGGTAATCCTCGGTTTATATCTTAGCCACAGAATTATCCCATAAGAAAAAACAAATTAAATGGGGACTGGTATAAGTTCTCAGTTTGGCCTTAGTTTGATGGTATCACCTCTTGGGATTTTCTCTTCCCAAGGCAAGACCTTTTATATTCTTCATTCCCCACTTCCATGCTGCCCTTTAAGACAAGTCCCTTAGGACCTTTGTGTTTTAATATCTTGGCTTCTAATCTTAGAGAAAAAGCTGTAAAAGCTAACAAACTTAGCATGCAAGTTACAAAGCTTACAAATTTCTTACAGTAATACCCTCCCATCCACAATTTCTTACTTCCCGCCACTCTTATTTCTGAGGATGGGTAGGAGGGCTCATTGATCTCTATCATCCCATTCACCTTACCTTACTAGCAAAGGCTAAGTAGACCCTCTTCTTTAAAAAAAAAAAAAAAAGTTCCATTCCCCACCCTACAGGAGCAATCCATCTAGAAGATATAAAACAATCCAGACAAATGACCTCTATGTATCTAATACAAAACTTGTTTCTTCGAAGACTACACACTGAGTGACAAAGTTCATTAGGTCTGTATGCTACCCAGGAAGGACACCTACCTAGCTCTTACTTACGTACACATACAAAAAAACACTAAAGTTGTCAAAAACTCTTACCTGAAATTCTCTAAAACAAAAGTAGCTGAATCATAAGATGGTACCAACTCACTAAAAAGAAACAAAAGAGAAAAAAATTATTTGGCTTATACAAGTTTAACATTTCATTTAATTAAGAAACAAAGTCAGACTTCCCTGGTGGTGCAGTGGTTAACAATCTGCCTCCCAATGCAAGAGACACGGGTTCGATCCCTGGTCGGGGAAGATCCCACATGCCAGGGAGCAACTAAGCCTATGAGACACAACTACTGAAGCCCGCGTGCCCTAGAGCCTGCGCAGCAACTACTGAGCCCACGTGCCGTAACTACTGAAGCCCGCGTGCTGCAACTACTGAAGCCCGCGCTCCTAGAGCCCATGCTCTGCAACGAGAAGCCCGCGTACCGCAACGAAAAGTAGCCCCCACTTGCCACAACTAGAGAAAGCCCTCATTCAGCAATGAAGACCCAACGCAGCCCCCCAAAATAAATAAATCTTAATAAAAAAAAGAAACGATGTTAAGTCTCTCAGTAACATCTTACAAATTTTATTAAACTAAGGCCTTAAGAAATATTTTTAAAATTTTATTAAACAACATTAAATCAAATGAATTCATAAAACCATCAAAAGCTGACATCAAATGTTTGCAATTAAATTGGAGACTCAACAAATACTTTATAATATAGCTTTTTTAAAAAAAGGCAATATATGATTAAGTATTAAAATAACTATAAGAGATATTTAAAAACTAATATGGAAATAGGAAAAGAAAAAAGTTAGGTACTTAGGCTGGACACCTGAAATAGAAAACATATAAACTATTTTAAAAAATCAAAAGAAACAACAAAAGGATAAAATATTACAATAAATCCCCAAACTTCCTTCTTCGGAACAAATTATGAGGAATATTGACAGACCCTAAATACTTTGAGACTATTTACTAGCAAATAAATCTATACAATTTTATAGGATAAGAATACATAATCACATAGGGGTCAAGCAGGATAAGCACATTAACAGTTTCATGGCAAGGGAAGATTACCTAGGGAACTTTAGTTCCATACAATCTTCTCCAAAGAGAACTAAACTACATCCATAGAGCTAAACTACATCTTCAAAGAGAACTAAACTACACCCACAGCACGCTAATAGTCTCTAGCACTGTCATTAGAACACCTCAAAAGTCAGAGATAGTAAAACATTTATGATAAAGACACTATCATACATAGTGTTGTAATACAGTGTAATATATTTAATATATAAAATTATAAATTTACCAAAAAGATAAACTGCAAGCCATTTCACCACATATTCAGCTATATTTTCTAAAGTTCAATTCATGAAAATGTGTTATTACCAAAATAAGACATAAAATGCATCTAAAGCATTTTCACACTGTGACAGTACCTGAAGAAATTAGTGGTTTGCCAGTAGAAATACAGTATACATTATTAAAAATACATCAGTCTTATTTTATGGTTAAGTATATGTAGCTAAACAGCTCACATCTTTTTCACAAGTAGATGTGGTTTGCCTTGCAACTATTAACTGTAGAGCTATTATCCAATTGTCAAGCACCCCTAACCACAGCCCTAGGCAGTAGTTACCTTTTCTCACATTCCTCATTCCTAGATCCTTTTGTCTGGTTAATCCTTACAATTCCTTCAGATAACAAATTAGAAGTCACATACCTTTGGAGGTCTGCTCTAACTTCTCCCCAAGATACGCTCTCTTAGCATTCAATATACACAAAACTCCAATTATCAGAACCAATGCAATTAATGCCTGGGAAGCCTTCCTGGAACCAAGAACCTAATCAGAGCTCCAAGGAATCTCTCCAGGATAGTCTTCAAATTTGGTCAAGTTATAATATGCTTTTGGCTATAATTTTGTGCAACTTCCAACTGCACAAACGTTGTTCAGTTCTCCCACTAAACATCTTTCAAAATGTCTACAGACATTATGCAGGCAATCCCCAGTTGCCTGCTGATCTTCATACTGTTTCTTCCACCATGTCCTTAATACTCGGTGTGATATATTTCCTTTGTTGTTGTTTTTGTTCTAAGACCAGAATATCATTGTCCTATTTTTAATCAGCTCTTGAGGGTCAAAGAGCTCACCAAGACACAAAATAAACAGAAGATGAAGAGGACATGTTTAACTTAGAACAGCGAGATAGAAAGCTTACAAGTTAAAGCATACAGGTAGCTAAAGCTTACTAACCAAGAGGGTACAGTATGGCTCTCACTTGCTGAGAATAAATGTTAACATTCAGAGCACAGAAAACAATTATCAATCCTACTATGACATACTCCTACATATGTATAATTTTTTAGCCAAAACTTTTCAGACACTAATAACATTATATTAAATTAGTGCTATGGGGAAGCATTAAAACAAGATACATATACTTCCCCTATCACCAGTCATCACATTTTATTTTATTACTGCTTCAATCACCTATCTTTTTCACTAAATCACAATATGAGGGAACAAGAACTCTCTATTGTGCTCTCTACTTGTACCTGGCACGTGCCTGGAACATAGCTGGCATTCAAATATTCACTGAATGAATGGATATTTACAAATATTTGCTGGAAAATTCTTGTAATTTGGTAGAAGTATTTACTCAAAATTTCTTTTGCATTCTTTACATATATACACAAAGCCACAACAACCGCTAAGCCACCTAATTCTATCAATTCTACCATCCTTAAGTATTTATTAACATCTCCACATTATGCTCACTTGTTCAGAGGTTATCTATAATCATACTGGTGTTACCACTCTGTCTGCAAATAAGGCACAGCTTTATGTTCTCAAACTTTTATTTCTGTACCTCTTCTACTCTGGTCTTTATGATGACTGGACTCATCTCACGATGGTGTCCGTGAAGCTCCACGGAATACGGAGAGGCTAGCCTCAAAACATCTCTAGCCCAGTATTCTGAAAAATACTGATTTGCAAATCTTTAGACCAGAGACTTCATCATGACTTAAGGGATGAACGGAAGAAAAATAGGATAAGTATCCATTGTTCCCTTGAGAAAACAGACTGGTCAGCTACATAAAAACTGGTTTTCCATCCCAACTTGACCATTCTCCCAGAAACCAAAACTCTTTATGGACTGAGAACTGTACTTTTCTGCTATTTAAGTCCTCCCTGAGAGACTTAAATGCCCCAACAATACAGCCCTTCAAATTCTGGTTGAAATGATTTCTCTGCTGACTTCCAAATATAGCAGCTCTTATCACATCCCCATATTTTTGTTCATGTATACATATCCTATTCTCATCTGCCTAATGAAATTCTAAGTATCTTTCAAGGTCTTCCACAATTCCTTTCTAGGCTATGAAGTCATCTTTACCACAGCAGTCTACCCTGACTTCTCAGAATTTCTGATGTAACTAAGTAACAAATATTCAATTTTAATATACAATTCTCTACCATTTCATGTGGAATATATATCCAGTAAGATTACTTCCTCTTCCATGGCTCCTATGCAGGACTTACAACAGTGCTGAGCACATAGATGACCTTTAATAAATAACATTACTTTGTTTAATGACCTTTTATTCGCCATTGTGGCTCTATCACAAATCATCAACCGATGGAATATAAGGTACTCAGTTCCATGATCTCAAAGCTTAGAAACAATCACCGCTGCTTTGAACATCTAAACTTTGGTCTGTAACTTAATGTCCATAAATGCTAGCCTTTCTTTCTTCTTTTTACATATGTATGTATGTATGTTTTTATTTATTTAATAATAAATAAAAAAAGACTGCGTTGGGTCTTCCTTACTTCACGCAGGCTTTCTCTAGTTGCCACAAGCAGGGGCTACTCTTCATTGCGGTGCACGGGCTTCTCATTGCAGTGGCTTCTCCTGTTGTGGAGCGTGGGCTCTAGGTGCACGGGCTTCAGTAGTTGTGGCTCCCAAGCTCAGTAGTTGTGGCGCACGGGCTTAGTTGCTCCGCGGCACGTGGGATCTTCCCAGACCAGGGCTCGAACCCGTGTCCCCTGCACTGGCAGGCAGATTCTTAACCACTGCACCACCAGGGAAGCCCCTAGCCTTTCTTATTTGGCCTTCTTTTCTTTGCTGATCAATGAATCAACAGATGGAACACCTGCTTCCTCTATACTGCAAATCATAAACTAAGTTTCTAATAAAAATTACAGTTAAGTTATAAGGCAAGTTTTCCAGTAAGACAGTAAGGTTTACTAGAGAGGGAGAGGGCCCTAAGGTGACCTTTTCCCAGGGAAATCTCCTTAATTATCAGAGTTTTATTTTTTACTTTTTGGTGGTTTTTTTCCTTATTGATGTGCCTCCTACCTCACCCATCCCAACCCCAGTTTCAGTCCCTTCCATCTATACCCAAAAAAGAAGGTAGTGAAAGGAAGGTATTATTGGGGTTCTGAGTCCCTTGTGCAATTAGAAAGGAAAAAGAAATCAAAATAGGGACTTCCCTGGTAGCAGTGGTTAAGAATCGGCCTGCCAATGCAGGGGACATGATTCGAGCCCTGGTCTGGGAAGATCCCACATGCCATGGAGCAACTAAGCCCGTGCACCACAACTACTGAGCCTGCGTTCTACAGCCCATGAGCCACAACAACTGAGCCCACGTGCCATGACAACTGAAGCCCGCACACCTAGAGCCCAAGCTCCACAAGAGAAGCTACCACAATGAGAAGCCCACGCACTGCAACGAAGAGTAGTCCCTGCTCGCCGCAATTAGAGAAAGCCCGCACACAGCAACGAAGACCCAACACAGCCAAAAAAAATAATAATAAATAAATAAATTTTAAAAAAAAATCAAAATAATCACTGGATGTGACAGAAACTGACACTCAAGAAGTCAAGCAGAGGGACTTCCCTGGTGGTCCAATGGCTAAGACTCCTCACTCCCAATGCAGGGTGTCCAGGTTTGTTCCCTGGTCAGGGAACTAGACCCCCACATGCTGCAACTGAAGATCCCACATGCCACAACGAAGATCCCACGTGTGGCAACTAAGACCTGGCGCAGTCAAATAAATAAATATTTTTTTTAAAAAAAGAAGTCAAGCAGAGTTGCTTGCCTGATAACCTGTTGCAAGTAGTATCAGTATAGGAGTTTACCTCTATCAATGGTACCCAAACTTTACTGCAGAGTTACTTGAGGTGCTCAAGATTCATTTTCTAGATACCATCTCCAAAGACTGTCAGGGAACAGGCCTGAGAATTTTCATTTTGGAACAACACTCCTGACTCTGATACAGGAGATCCATGTACCCTATTCTGAATTGTAAAACCCTTATCTTCATATATGGTATTTATATCAAAACTCGTTTCATTCCACTGATGACGGATAGAGTAATTCAGAAAAGGTATCTTCAAAACTGAAATGGCTGACCACACTATCAAAGAGGCAGCCTTGGAATATTAATGAATATCCCTAGTTGACTCAAATCTATTTAACAAGAGCAAATACCCAGCCCTTTTATTAATATTCAGTGCTTGAATAAGATATAAATATTTTATCTGGCTTGTTAGTTCACAAAGAAATGAAGACTTACCTTATTGGTCAGGGAGAACTACCTGAGTTCTAGTTGTTAGCAACAGCTTTCTTTTGAAACAAGTATATGCATTTGCACATAAACTTCAAAAGAAAATAAAGTAAAAAAAAATGTGTCGTACCTGGTAAAGTCTGGTGGAACAGGAGTGGTAACAAAGGACGCCATGGGCTTTCGATGAACTTGCTGAAACATCATGAGGATCTCTGAGCTCTTAGATATCAACTCACTCTTACTACAAGATCGCAACTGTTTGAGGAAAAGAACTGTCTGAATAAAAAAATTACTATGCATTGGCACCCCCAAAATCCTTAATAAAGAAGGAAAATGGAAATTATTCTGGTTATATACTGAAAAAACTGAGATAAAGAAAAATATTGGGTTGGCTGAAAGTTTTGTTCGGTTTTTTCTGTAAGCTGGCTGTAGTAGCACTTAGTTGTCTTTAACTTCATTCAAAAGTTTTGTTAGATTGTATGTGACAGCTGTCATATCAGGGTGCATTTAAAGAAAGACTTCTCAAAATTGGTGAATTTTTGTGTAGCCATTTTAACACTGAAGATGGAACAAAAAAAGCAACATTTTCGGCATATTATGCTTTATTATTTCAAGAAAGATAAAAACGCAACCAAAATGAAAAAAAAAGATTTGTGCAGCGAATGGAGAAGGTGTTGTGACTGATTGAACATGTCAAAAGTGTTTTGCAAAGTTTCGTGCTAGAGATTTCTCGCTGGACAATGCTCCACAGTCGGGCAGACAAGTTGAAGTTGAGAGCGGTCAAATTGAGACATTAATTGAGAACAACTGACATTATACCATGCGGGAGATAGCCGACATACTCAAAATATCCAAATCAAGTGTTGAAAATCCTTTGCAACAGCTTGGTTATGTTCATTGCTTTGATGTTTGGGTTCCACATAAGTGAAAAAAACCTTCTTGACCATATTTCCACATGCGATTCTCTACTTAAACGTAATGAAAATATTCCGTTTTTAAAACAAGTTATGACAGGGCTTCCCTGGTGGCGCAGTGGTTGAGTCCGCCTGCCGATGCAGGGGACACGGGTTCGTGCCCCGGTCCGGGAAGATCCCACATGCCGCGGAGCGGCTGGGCCCGTGAGCCATGGCCGCTGAGCCTGTGCGTCCGGAGCCTGTGCTCCGCAACGGGAGAGGCCACAACAGTGAGAGGCCCGTGTACCGCAAAAAAAAAAAAAAAAAAAAAGTTATGACAGGCGATGAAAAGTGGATACTGAACAATAATGTGGAACAGAACAGATCATGGGGCGAGCAAAATGAACCACTACCAACCACACCAAAGGCCGGTCTTCATCCAAAGAAGGTGATGCTGTGTATATGGTGGGACTGGCAGGGAGTCCTCTATTATGAGCTCCTTCCGGAAAACCAAACAATTAATTCCAACAAGTACTGCTCCTAATCAGACCAACTGAAAGCAGCACTCAACAAAAAGCGTCAACAGAAAACGCATAATATTCCATCAGGACAACGCAAGTCCGCATGTTTTTTTGATGACCAGGCAAAAACTGTTACAGCTTGGCTGGGACGTTCTGATTCATCTGCTGTATTCAACAGACACTGTACCTTCAGATTTCCATGTATTTAGGTCTTTACAAAATTCTTTTAATGGAAAAAATTTCAATTCCCTGGAAAACTGCAAAAGGTACCTGGAACAGTTCTTTGCTCAAAAAGATAAAAAGTTTTCAGAAGACGGAATTATGAAGTTGTCTGAAATATGGCAGAAGGTAGTGGAACAAAAGGGTGAATACGTTGTTCAATAAAGTTCTAGGTGAAAATGAAAAATGTGTCTTTTATTTTTACTTAAAAACCGAAGGCACTTTTTGGCCAACACAATAGCTTCTTTCAAAGTGGGTTTGAAAGTTAAGAATCTAGGTTTATTAATTTCCATTATAACAGTAAAGTTATTGAGTAAATGTATTTGATTTTAATGTATTTTTCTCTCATTGTATATTAGCATAAATCCAATTCTAAGCAACTACAAATGTATTTTAGACTGGTACAGTGAAGCCATTATGTATATAAATGAACAAACCCCTAAAAGTCAACGACCTTCAAACAAGGATTTCTCAAATTGCACTCCAGGGGACAGAGAAATGTTACGACCTAACACACAGAAAAAAGTCTTAACCTCTATCAATCTAGGAAACATTAAGTTATACCAAAGGTAAAAAGTGAGAAATCCAACTTTAGCAAAATAAGCATGGTAGTTAAAAGACTACTGATTCTGTACTCAAGACAACCAGTTTGAAGTCCTAGTCCTGCCACACACCAATTATGTGGCTCAGAGTCTGTTAATGTGTAAAACTGGAATAATATCTACCGCTGCTTGCTGTGCTGGTTTGTTAGATCAAGCATGAAGCTGTATGTGAGACAGCTTTGTAAACTGCTGTGGACTGAATCGTGTCCCCACCCCAAACTCATTTGTTCCAGTCCCAACCACCAGTACCTCATAGTGTAACTATATTTGGAGATAAGCCCTTCAGAGGACAAAACGAGAAGGCAGCCATCTGCAAGCCGGAGAGAGAGGTCTCAGGGAAAACCAAACTGCCAATACCTTGATCTTGGACTACCAGCCTCCAGAACACTGAGAAAATAAATCTCTGTTGTTTAAGCCTCTTAGTCTGTGGTGTTTTGTTACGGAAGCCCTAACAAACTAATACACTATCAAGTGCCATACAAATGATATTCAAAAACCCACGACAACTGGGTTTATGTCTTTTAGAAGATAGTTGCTTACAGCTCACCAAGAATAACAATATAACATAACTGGTATCATATGATAAATACCAAAATTTATAGCTTTCATTCAAATATTTATTGAATGCATACTATGTGTATCCTTCCTTGACCTTATTTCCTCCAAAGGTAGACTTTTAAATAGATACCTTTAATAAAGTTACGGTAGTTCCTTTTACTCTTAGTTTGCTGAATAATTTGGCCATGAATGAGGATCGAATATAACTGAATGTTATTTTAAAAATTAATATTATTCTATTCATTTCTACTTATATGTTCATGTGGTTTTGCCCTTTAAACTCTTGAGTTACAATCAAGAGATTTTTCTGATAATGAAACATTCCTTTCATTCCTTTCATTAACCCTACCAAGTCTTGCTTTCTTGTTTTGTTTTAGTAAGTATCCTACTAATTTTGATTTGTCAGTATTTTAACATTATGGTATTTATGTTTACAATAGAGTTGGGCTTTAATTTTGTTTTCTTACAGTGTTCTTATGCTGACTCGTTATTAACATTATATCAATCTCAAAGACTGAGATGTTAGCTTTGGTACATTTTGTATTCTTTTAGGAAAAAAAAGTGCTTATGATAGATAACAGATATTTAAAGATCTGGTAAAAATTTTCCATTAGTCTGGATCTGATGTCTTTTGACTATATACTTCCAATATAATTTACGTAATGTTTCTTACTTTAAATTATATTCTTTCTTAGGTCATTTTTGGTAATTACAATTTCCTGGAAAACTATCTTCTTCATGTAGATTCTACCTGAATAAAGTTGCTCATTTGTGTAAAGCACATAGAATAGTGCCTGGTATATAGTAAATGCTATATCCATAATTACTTTGTAAAATATTTTTATTATTTAAATTTCTACTATATTTGTAGTCAGGTCCCATTTTTCTTCCCAATATACTGTTGGACATTTTCTTCATTTTTCCTAATCAACCTTGTTAGAGTATCTTCCATTAAATTAATTTATTCAAAGATCCAATACTGGGTATGTTGATCCTCTCAACTATTTCATGGCACTCTCTTGTTATTTCATCACTGCCTCTGTGATTTCCTTCCATTTTATGCTTCTATACCATTGTTCTTTTTTCTGTCTTTTTTCACTTATTCATAATTTCTTAAACTTCATTTTAGACTAAAAGTTTCCTTCTAAATATCCTGTAGCTACATCTATTTTAATAATTTATCATTCCAATGGCAATGTCCTCCTTCACTTAAGAACTATGGAGATATTTAACATATATTTAAATGTGTACTTACATACATATATGTAAACTGTGTTTTTGATATCTATCTTAATTATACTGTGGTCACAGAACATGTTGTTTATATAAATTTATTAAATTTCTTCAGAATTCTATATACCTTAGTATGTGACAAAATGTTGAAACTGTTCCATGTGGACTTAAAAAGAATATATATTCCTCAGTTTGGGATTCAGAATTCCACATATACCTTTTAAATAAAGCTCTCAATTTTCTTTTTCAAAGATCTTCTATTCTTACAATCTTTTGTTAGTTGGAACTATTAGTTTATCAGATTTAAATAAAATAAAATAATTTATTTTTAATCACTCACTACAGATAGTAATTTTATGAAAATCTTATAATTCTGTCAGCATCTGCATTATATATAATGAATTTATGTTTTGGGAACACAAAATCATAACTGTCCTATCTTCCTAAGGTAGATTGCTCCCTTTTTATCACTCGTAATATTTTCACTTTAAATTTCTCATCATTCTCTAGATCTGTCTTAAGAAGTTCACCATGGGATTTTTAAAACTTCGACTTAATCCATTTACATTTATTTTTATTACTGATGTCAGTGTCATCCACTAATGACAATACACAAAATCCAAAAAAATACTCAACCTAAAAATAACCAAAAAAAAAAAAAAGGAACAAAGAGCAGGTGGAACAAACAGCAAGATATTAGACTCAAACTTCACCCTATAAGTGAGCACACTAAACATCCCAGGTAAAAGTCAAAGACTGTCAGACTGAATTAAAAAAACTAGAGCCAATTGTATGCTGCCTACAAGACACACACACTTTAAATATTTAGGAAAAAATACATTAAAAATAAAATGACAGAGTAAGATATGACATAGTAATACTAGTTAAAAGAAAGCTAAAATGGCTTTTTGACATCAAATAAACTAGATTTCAAAGCAAACAGGTCTTTCACACTGATAACGGAAACAATTCATCAAGAGAATGTAACAGTCCTTGGACTTCCCTGGTAGCACAGTGGTTAAGAATCCGCTTGCGGGCTTCCCTGGTGGCGCAGTGGTTGAGAGTCCGCTTGCCAATGCAGGGGACACGGGTTCGTGCCCCGGTCCGGGAAGATCCCACATGCCGCAGAGCAGCTGGGCCCGTGAGCCATGGCCGCTGAGCCTGCACTTCCGGATCCTGTGCTCCGTAACGGGAGAGGCCACAACAGTGGGAGGCCCGCGTACCGGGGG